ATGTTACCCCGCCTCATTGGGGACTATTTTCTCGGAACTAGGGGCCTGGTCTGGCAGAAGTTCGGAATTCTTATGCCCCCGCCACTTGAAGCTAGATTTTTGTGATAGAGTACACACATAGACACGTACGTCGCACTTGAAGTGATGAAGCTAAAGGTGAAAGTGTGTTGTTTGGAAGGAAGAGTTGAACCTAGGTCCTCCCATCAAGGCCAGCGGCCACCCACATTTTGGAATAAAAGTTGACGCTTGCTCGCCTGTCTAAACGGCAGCCCCAGTTCTTGAGCGCAGGAGCTGTTTCGTTTTTGTTTGCAACTCAAAGCATCAAAGCTGACCAGAATCAGAGATTTTGAAGTGCTATAATTATAACCCCTTGTCAGACAACCTTGAATGTTTCACTTGCGTCACTCACTCTCAACTGCACTGCTCCTCAGCATGCTGGTTTGTGCAAAGCAGGTTGCTTGTCTTGGCCTGAAGTGGGTGTTGGTGGTTGAAAGCCACACAACCGTGATCCACATACCGGCAAAGCTGAATCTCATCAGAACAAGTAAGGCTTCAGTAGCATTAACCAAGAAGCTTGCAACAAAAACTAGACGACGGTTGGCCCGAGAGCGAGAAAGGTGATTGTCAAGCAATTCCGAGTGAGGACATAGTTAAAATCGAGTTGTCCAAGAGCCATAACTTCTTTCTACAATCTGTTATTGAGTAAGAAGTTGCGAAGAAATTAGACTTACTGTAAAGTATTAAGAGAAAAGATATGTAGAAAGAGAGAAAGAGAGGGCGGATGTGAAGGAGTGACAGTGTGGATGTGCAGGTGTGATATAGATGTGGAGATGCGTGGGTGCGTGGAGGTAGAGAGGTAGATCTGCGGATGTGAGCGTGCCACACGGTCTTAGAAGCAATCCTATCACACGATACCGCCAATCATCCCGCTCACCAGCGACACGCCGCGTTTACACCAGCATGTTTCGCGCTCGCCAGTGGCACGGCGCCACGCAAACGCACTTTCCACCAAGGCCGCGCAAATCCGCATGGCGCTGCGACATCACGGGCGTAATTTCGCCGCACGGTCTGCCCACACTAGAAGCAATCCTATCACACGATACCGCCAATCATCCCGCTAACCAGCGACACGCCGCGTTTACACCAGCATGTTTCGCGCTCCCCAGTGGCACGGCGCCACGCAAACGCACTTTCCACCAAGGCCGCGCAAATCCGCATGGCGCTGCGACATCACGGACGTAAATTCGCCACACGGTCTGCCCACACACTGCAAGCAATCATATCACACGATACCGCCAATCATCCCGCTCACCAGCGACATGCCGCGTTTACACCAGCATGCTTTGCGCTCCCCAGTGGCACGGCGCCACGCAAACGCACTTCCCACCAAGAGCTCGCAAATCCGCATGGCGCTGCGACATCACGAACGTAATTCGCCACGCGGTCTGCCCACACACTAGAAGCAATGATATCGCGCGATACCGCCAATCATCCTGCTCACAAGCGACACGCCGCGTTTGCGCCAGCGTGTTTCGCGCTCCCCAGTGGCATAGCGCCACGCGGACGCACTTTCCACCAAGGCCGCGCAAATCCGCATGGCGCTGCAACATCGCGGACATAACTCGCCACACGGTCTGCCCACACACTAGAAGCAATCCTATTGCGCGATACCGCCAATCATCCCGCTCACCAGCGACACGCCGCGTTTACACGAGAATGTTTCGCGCTCCCCAGTGGCGCGGTGCCACGCAAACGCATTTCCCACCAAGGCCGCGCAAATCCGCATGGCACTGCGACATCGCGAACGCAAAGTTCGCCGCGCGATCTGCCCACAAGCAATCATATCACACGATACCGCCCATCAGTACAAATGTAGTGCGGGCAACAGCGTTGCGGAGCTGGACTCAGAAGTGTGTGCTTCTAGTGTGACATGATTGCTTCTAGTGTGTGGGCAGACCGTGTGGCGAAATTACGTTTGTGATGTCGCAGTGCCATGCGGATTTGCGCGGCCTTGGTGCGTTTGCGTGGCGCCGTGCCACTGGGGAGCGCGAAACATGCTGGTGTAAACGCGGTGTGTCGCTGGTGAGCGGGATGATTGGCGGTATCGTGTGACAGGATTGCTTCTAGTGTGTGGGCAGACCGTGTGGCGAATTTACGTCCGTGATGTCGCGGTGCCATGCGGATTTGCGCGGCCTTGGTGGGAAGTGCGTTTGCGTGGCGCCGTGCCACTGGGGAGCGCGAAACACGCTGGTGTAAACGCGGCGTGTCGCTGGTGAGCGGGATGATTGGCGGTATCGTGTGGTATGATTGCTTCTAGTGTGTGGGCAGACCGTGCGGCGAATTACGTTCGTGATGTCGCAGTGCCATGCGTGGCGACTTCTGAGCCCAGCTCCGAAAGGCTCTTTCCGTACTACATTTGCACTACAAACTGGCCAGGTCTGAGTCCAGCTCCAACAAGCTCTTTCGCGCGCTACATTTGCACTACAAACTGGCCAGGTCTGAGTCCAGCTCCGAAAAGCTCTTTCCCGTACTACATTTGTACTACAAACTGCCCACTTCTGAGTCCAGCTCCGAAAAGCTCTTTCCCGCGCTACATTTGCACTACAAACTGGCCAGGTCTGAGTCCAGCTCCACAAGTGAAGCGCCAAGTCTCCAAAATGAGCGTTTCGCACGAGACTTCCTCCAAAAGTGAAGCGCCAAGTCTCCAAAACCAGCGTTTCGTACGAGACTTCCTCCAATAGTGAAGCGCCAAGTCTCCAAAACAGCGAGACTTCCTCCAAAAGTGAAGCGCGACCAATCCAAAACGCAGTCTCAGCTGCATTTTGCGCCCTCGACACGCACCATCTCCGCAGAGGGTTGCGCGCGACAGGGCAAAAACGCAATGATCACCTGCATTTCGCGCCTTCGACGCGCACGATCTCCGCAGAGGGTTGCGCGCGCCAAATCCAAAACGCAATCTCACCTGCATTTCGCGCCCTCGACACGCACGATCTCCGCAGAGGGGCCGGACACAGCAAAAACGCAATCTCACCTGCATTTCGCGCCCTCGACACGCACGATCTCCGCAGAGGCCCCACCTTAAGTGAGAAAGAAAAGAAGAGCGAGAGGTGAAGATGTGAGATGTGCAGATGTGAAGATGTAGATGCAGAGATGTAGATGTGCAGATGTGAAGATGAGCAGAGATGTAGATGTGCAAATGTAGAAGATGTGCAGAGCTGTAGATGTGCAGATGTGAAGATGAGCAGAGATGTAGATGTGCAAATGTGGAAGATGTGCAGATGTGAAGATGTAGATGAGACGTAGATGAAACGTAGTTCTACAGATGTTTTTTACGAAGAACCCTTTGCAGACGCCCTCGGGAACAAAAACGGAATTCAATGTTGGGGGAAGGCATCGCCATCGCCATTGCGACGCTGTTGGGCATATATCAGTTGGGAACAGACGGGGCTGTGAGGGCGGAGCAAGTGCATATGAAATGAAAGGTTGTTTCGGCAGTGCAAAGTGTACTGTACTCTGTACCCCATTCATTTTGGCAGTCTACCCCTGACGAGAAGCTTCACGTTGTAAAATTGTAATTATTGCCTTGTGATGTCCGTGCAGCTTCTCCAAGGCTGTGAGGACTGTTTGTGGCAACGTCTTTCGGAAGTTGCCAGCTCCAAGGGAGTTTCCGCAGTGACTTGGATGACAAATCCATTTCTTTCTGTCTCTTTGTAGCCATAATCATCAGAGGTCAGTTTTTCTAGGTCTGAGTTTTGTGCTTTAGCGTTGTTCGCATACATGTGTGAGGCCGCAGAACTTCTTTGCCTAAATTGTGGAGACCAGACCTGAGTTGACTGGATTTCTTTCTGGCTGCAACCTCTAATGTGAGTTCATGACAATTCATGCCCATGCAGAAATGAGTTTGTTTGGGTTCTTCTTCGTGTCGAACTGACCGGGGCTTCAACCGAAGTTGAAGGGACCGGCCTTGCCAACGGAAGCACAAGGACAAGGGCAACCTCGAGGCGATCTCGGGGTGTTGCTTCGGAAACGAGCGGTTGTCCAGCGGTTAGTGCATAGTTGTCTGGAATTTTCATGCAATACCTGTACCTGCTGATTTTAAAGGGATGTTATGATGTATCGTGTCAAGAATAAGCACCTCAAACCTGCCTAGATCCACAGGCCAATTTGTCCAGTGCTTTCTTACCCGCATGTGCTGCGGGTACACAATTTAAATATACACACCTTGGTGCAGGGGTTGCTCCTCCCTTTGATGCCAAGAAAGAGGCAAGAATGTGGTTTTCTTTCTCTTCCTAGCTTTGGATAACTTGTGTCAGCTCATCCTTTGTTGTCTATAGATAATGTTTGACAGCCAGGATTGGCAATGCTGCAGTTGTGGCCGCTGAGTCTGGAATCAGAACTTGCATGACATACTAACACAGAAACACAGAAGTGGAAAGTGGTCCCTGCGAAGACTATTTTACACGTTGCTGCACTATAACTTGGGGGGGGTTCCACTTCCATGTTGCTGAGTTGAAAGGTATTTGTACAGTTTTTTCAAACTGATGAGAGCGAGTTTGATGTTTGTGGTTCAGGTTATTCGAACTTTGCGCGGCGCCAGTTCTGCAGAAATTGTGAAGCGCCACGGCCGCTTTCTTGCAAATCTGTGCCGCACAGCCTTTTCTTTGTCCACTGGACAGTTTCGTCCAATTCTATTGAAGCTAGCCCTGCAGCAAGGTATACCGTGCCTGAAGCGCTCGATGAGGTGGAACACATGATCATGCGTGGATGACTGCGCTCTTCGATTGCCATCTCAAGGTATGTGGAGCGTGCAAGGAGTCAGCCAAGGCTGGCAATTCATTCACAGTGACAAATTTGCTTGGAAAGAGAAGAAAGTTCATGGAATTTCCAGGATGAGAATCTGTTACAACGGTGGCAGCTGCTAACCTCTGCTGAGCGACGAACCGTGCCTTGAAATGACAGAACATAGCAAACTTTGGGCCAATAGACAGCCTAAGGCGTCCATGGAACGTTTCCTGAGTCTTCTTGATACTGAGCCAGTCAGCTCCTTGGAAAACATGTTGTCAGTGTCCTTGTGTTGCAGTCTCTTCCAGCTCCTTCTTCTCCTTCATTGTTCGTTTCGTTGCGAGGCCACGGATGCTAACGCTAAGACTTTGGCAAGGCCACAAAATAGCCCGAGCGAAAGGCAATTGAAGGAAAGCCTGTCGGCGTCAGGTTCCAGCCACAGAACCCACGAGCCGCAGCTTCTATGCGCTTGGGCGACACGCAGCAGGACAAGCAATGTTTAAGTGAGATGGAGTATATGCAATCTGGCCATAAAGAACACTCAATGTCGGTTTTGCTTGACCTTTTGGGTTGTCTGCATATTGTAGACTTGCATGATGGGTACCGAGCAACCAATGGTTCATGTACAAGATTGTAATAGACTTCTACTGATGTATGATCATGTTGCCATCATACAAGTTCAGATATATAGTAGTGCTTTTGTAAAGTGACAAAGAATAATACAAACAATCTTGAACGTGTTGGGTTTCAAAGAACGAAACTGGGGGTAACAGGAGCGAAGTGCAGAGCTACACAAGGCGTGATGCCAAAATCAGACATACCAAGAGTTGTTGAAGGAATACAGAACATGACGTCAATGACGTTGCTCATCGTTGCTCATGACAGCTTGACGCTTCTTCATGCTAAGCTCAGTGCTTTGCAAAAGGGACGGAGCCATTTGGGCATGAAGCCTGATTCTGCTGCCATGGTTGTCGCAGGCAAGCTCAGCCTGCGATACTCTGCGAATTATGGCACTTCTGGAAGCAGCTCGTCACTACAAGAATGGACATGAACAGAATCAAGGAATCTGTGAAGATCGCCCAGTCCAGAATTTTGAGAACTTCATTGCATGAGCAAGGCCGGAGTTGACATTGACGCTTCGAATGAGCTTGGAACTTGACTTCGTGGTCAAAGTGTAACACAGCTATCCCAACATTCATAGGATGATAGACGTGCCCATGTCTCTTCAGGTATGGACAAACAGCCATATTCCTGGCCGCATACTATGATGCTGCTGAGGCACAGAACTCAGTTCATCACGTTAGAAAGTAGGGGTGAGGGATGTTGGCCAATTAGGCTGTCAAATTGCTTGCATGGTCTGGTGCAGATGTGGCCTTCGGCTTAGACTAAACAGTGTGACAGTCCACAAGGTGAGACCGCATTTTGGCATCAGGATCGCCCAGCCAATGGAGGAACGAGTCCATGGATGTGTGCTGCGGTCAACGGTTTCAAAGGCAGGACACATGAACACATGGACAGTGGTAAAGTGAAAGAAAGGGCATCAAAGGAAGGCATGCTCCCAATTGTTTTGATGAAAGGCGTGCTGGAAGTTCTCAGTGAGGCGCTGCTGTAAATTCATTCAATGGAACCTTTGTGATGAGCTTACTGAGGCAGGTGCAAAGACCAACAACTTGTCCGAGCAGATAGACTTTGGAATTAGCACACCCAAATTGAACTGGCTGATCCCTGCCGACTCGGACGTCAGACAACATGCAGTCACGATTGGTCTAGGAAACTTGAAAGAGAAATAATGGGCTGCGTTTCTTGTAGGCTTTGCAAGGGTTGACAAAGCTGCTTTGTGTGCAGGAACTTGCTGGAGCTGGAAGTTGCCTGGTTGACTTTGGATTTCCGGAAGGCTTCCTGAAGCAATTGGAAAGGCTGTTTGAATCTCTGCCCGTGGCACCGAGCACAAAGTCTTCCTCATCTGACCGTAGTTATTACTGTGACTTGCCAGAAACCTGCAGATAGGTGACTTGGGCCATCTTGGGCCTTTGAAAGGAACAGACTCAGTTGGCGCTTTCACGGTGTTCCATCTGAGCTTTCTGGATGCTGAGGCGATTCAGAGGGTTGGGTGCGACGCGCATTTCAGGATGCCTTGGGAGAGATTGCGGAATTGGGCGAAGCCCCTGGTAAGGTCACAATGCCACACATGCGTTTTTTTGCACTACTCTGAAGTTGGTGGAGGATTGCCGCCACATGTAGATTTGGCTCGCACGGATGAGTTGGGAAGACGGTCTACCCACACCTTCATCCTCTACTTGTGGGACAGCACTGTCCAGATGGGAGAGATGGGAGAAATGAATGATGGTGGATATGGTCGATGCAGCTCTGGCGGTGAAACAGTACTCTTGAGCCGAATGGAGGACAGCTCCGCAGCATGTGTGGTCGCTGTCGAACCTCGCAGGGGAAGACTATTGCTCTTCCCGCACATGTGCCCACATTTGGCACGCCCGATCACCGTCCCAAAGCTCTTGCTTCGTGCTTTGCTCAGTCTTGAATGAGTGTAGCATTTCAGGCAACGACTTTGGACATCCAAAATGTCAGTTGTACTGACCAAGGTGGCGAAATGCGCTTGGATTTGACGAGTGTGAGCTGCAAATGCGAGGAGCAAAAAGACAAGACTTTCTGCCAAACACTTGGAGCCATTTGTTCAATTCATTTCACCCACGAGGCGTGAAATTGGCGAGAAAGTCAAACACGTCTTGTATCTAAGACCGCGCGTTGTTGATACGCCGATATACACGTACAAGGTAGCAGGATCTTCCGCGTGCGTTACAACACTGACACGCATCCGCCTTGCGAACCGCAGTGCCATTTTCGCCATCAACGACTGCCTTTGCACGGCCGT